GAATCAAATATGTATCTTTATTCATTTACAATAAACTCATAAAGTACATCATTCTGATTGAAGCTAAGGGCATACAAAACTGTCTAACAAAGTATGTGTTGGATCTTCTTAATGAGACTGGAAAATATGGTGCTAAACCTACCTCTACCCCTATAACCCTATTGATGTGAATCATAAACTCTCAGCTAATGATGGAGAACTTTTAGTTGACAGGGGAGCTTTTCAGAGATTATTAGGGAAACTTCTTTATCTATGTATGACTCGTCCCGACATTTCATATGTTGTAAGTGTCATCAGCCAGTTCATGCATGTTCCTAGAGACACACATATGGCTGCTGTAGAAAGGGTGTTATGCTATCTTAAGGGAACTCCCGGGAAGGGTATATTGTTTGCTAAACCTGGCCACATGAAGGTAGAAGCATATACAGATGTTGATTGGGTAGGAAATGTGGATGGCAGGAGATCCACATTAGGTTATTGTACTATGGTAGACAGAAATATTGTTTCCTGGAGAAGTAAAAAGCAATCAGTGGTTGCTAGATCTTCAGCTGAGGTAGAGTATAGGGCTATGGCCCATGGGGCCTTTGAGTTGTTATGGCTTAGATCTCTCCTTGATGAGATGGGTGTTTCATGTGACAAGCCACTGATGTTGTATTGTGATAACCAGGCTGCTATTAACATTGCTCACAACCTGGTTCAGCATGATAGAACTAAGAACATTAAGATAGATGGACACTTTATATGGGAGAGAGTGGCTTCAAGAGAGGTGTGCCTTCCTTTCATTGCATCAGAAGAGCAGCTAGAAGAATTTCTAACTAATGGAGTTCCAAAGGCAAAGCTTCAACATTATGTAAGCAAGCTAGGCATGATTGGCATCTATGCTCAACTTGAGGGGGAGTGTAGTGAGAATGGGCTTTAGTGTTTTTTATTTCCTTTAAGTAGTGTTTAAGGTTATGTTTGTTGGTTATAGGATATTTTTGTTTTCTTTAATTATTTCTTTAGTGTTGACTGCCCCATTAAGGGCATCCAAGTAATTGTACTTAATTTTTGAATAAGTTAATAAAAGAGATCAAGGGGGCTAGAGAGAGAGGTAAAACTCTTCGTTTCTTTCTTCCCTTCTCTTCTTCTTCCACAAACTAGTGCGGAAACCTCTTTCTTCTCCTTTCTCTTCATTTTTTTTCCTCCATTTTCTATATATATATATATATATATATATATATTGCAGGCAGGCTAGAAATGATTACCCCTAGCTCTGTTCCCTTTTTCAATATAGTCCATATTTAAATATATATTTTGTTAAAAAAATATTTTGCTACTTCCAGGTGAGGGATGAGCTTGAACAACTTCTGGATGATGATGATGATATGGCAGACCTTTACCTTTCAAGAAAATTAGCTACGGCTTCTTCACCAGTCAGTGGCTCCGGTGCACCCAATTGGTTACCTGCTTCCCCTACTATAGGATCGAAGATATCCAGGGCAAGCCGAGCAAGTTTTGCAACCATTCGTGGAGATGAAAATGATGTTGAGGAGCTTGAAATGTTGCTTGAGGTCAGTCACCTAATTGCCATAGCTCATACTTTATTAAGACTGAAAGTCTAACCTGACTTGTTCTAAACTTTGCAGGCATACTTCATGCAGATTGATGGTATATTGAACAAATTGACCACGGTATACTTTACTGAATCTGTGGTGCTATTACATTTATATTTTTTAACAATGACTTGATCTATTTGAAGTTCCTTTTATACTTGTGTACTAAATACACAGTAAACTTGCTTTGCTTGAGTGGAAGGCAATGGTCAAACATTCCACACCCTTATAGTGGTCAATTTCCTCATTAACAAGCTTGTATGAATGCAGACTAAAGCATGTCTCTTGCTTGAGGGTACCCAGGGGGGTGTGTGGAAGAAATGCAGAATGAACCACCATTCAAAACTCTATATTTACTTTTCTTCTATATATATGTATACAACATACATATGCATTAAACTGATCTCATTTGAATTTGAAGGTTTGGCATATCCACGATTTGTATTATTCTACTACCCCTCCTTTGGTTGACAATGTAGACTAAATACATGAAAACAGGTTTGAGAATATCTCTCACTCAACCAAGAAGATCAACTCGTCCCTTCAACTCTGATTATAGGCATGCACAATTATGTGAAACTGATCTGATTTGAATTTGAAGGTTTGACATATCCATGTTATATTGGTCCACCTTCCTCCTTTGGTCAACAAAGACTATATACATGGAAGTAGACTTGAGCATATTCTCACTCAAGTGAGGAGATAAACCAAACTCTTCAACTCTAATCGCTGGCATACACAATTATGTAGAATTGCCTTTGTGGCTAACTAATCTTTTAGGTTCTTTTTGTTCTAATCAAACCATGAATGCATCAAGCATTTCCTGGTTTCATCAGCTTGCATGGAAATTACTGGTGACTATTTCTTTTTGAACTTTGATGGAATATATCAGTTAATTACAGAAAGCAAAGCATTATATAAAAACTCAGAGGCAATTATAGTGAGAAATGTAATTGAGTCTGGGTAGATTCATAGATTAGTGTCTAGAAAGTTTATGATAGACTTTCTTTCTGATAAATGTTGGAAGCATTATAAAAGCAAATAAGAGAGGAAAGGGAACATAGAAGGCAGTGCAAAATGATCAATTTCTTTTTTTTTTTTTTGATAGAAAGGGGAACAATTAAAAAGAAGAATGACACTTGGTGAAATGGCCCCAAGCATCCCAAAAACAAATGTTCATCAGAGTTGGATCAGACAACCAAGTTGGTCAATTTCCATTGTGAATATAATATTACTGTCACAGTGGATCAATATATATATATATAGGGTTCGACTATGATACGGAAAAGATATGATATCTGAAAATTTTTTGACAAAGTCAATTGGAATCATAAACATAGTATCCAATCAGGTGTTATTTATCAAAATTCATGGGTGGGTTTTGATTGGTCATTTTAGACTCCAGTCTCTCTTCAAAAAATAAAGAGGACTCCGGTTTTTTTTTTTTTCTTCTGTGAAAATCTACAAAAATTATGCTACTATTGGTTGACATCCCCAGGAAATTACCAATTATTCATAAAATTTGATGTCAGTACTTTTGTTCTCACTTCCTTCTAATTAATCCACCCTCTTGAATGATTCTGTATAATTTTCTTATTGAATCTTTGTATTGAATTTATAGTATATCCTTGACTTGGCACCACTTTGAGCATTTCATCCTTTTAACTTGAAGAGAGTTAACCAATTGGGAATGGTATGGTGGTTAACATTAGCTTGTAGGATTGCATTGGAAGATTGTAATGAAAAAGTGGATTCCAAGCATCCACTAATCTAGTTGATAATCCCTAATGGTTGCCAGTAATATGAAAAATTGATTATCCTTGTAATAAAACTATATTCAGGAAGCAAACTTGTCTGGACCAGGCCCAAATTTATCGGGTTTGTGGTTATGAGTTTTTCCATGATGTTGTCAACTTTCAATTGGGTGGGTGGTCCTGATTCAAACCCAGCATATAACAGCTGTAATTCATGACTTTTATCAGGTCATAACAGATGGAATACATCTGGGGGAACAGATAGGTATTGTTGGGGTACTAACATGTGGGATCATGATTGGAGTTACATATTATATGCTTAGGAAAATGAGGGACCAAATTCATTGACAGCATTCCTTTATTGTTGGTGGCTGGTTAAACCTGAATTATGATGCATGGCCTTTTCTTTTTTCCCAGCTGCGTGAATATATTGATGATACAGAGGATTACATTAATATTCAGGTAATTGCTTTGAATCTTAAAATTTAAAATTAGAAAGAAGAGAGTCCATTTCAGTGGCATATGAATGAATAGTTTAAAGAAATGCCATGTATTCTTGCTTGCAGCTTGACAATCATCGGAACCAGTTGATTCAGGTAATGTATCTGATATCCATATCGATTAATTTCTTTGCCAGTGCCTTTCATTTTGTCTCTCCTTTGTATTAATATCCTTATTTTTATGCTGAAGGTTATTAGATCTTCTATTAGACTATGATTTTATGGATGTTTTTGTTTTTTCTACCTGCTTTGCGGCTGCAGCTAGAGCTCTTCCTAAGTTCTGGAACTGTTTGTTTATCCATCTATTCTTTGGTGGCTGGAATATTTGGCATGAACATCCCATACACGTGGAATGATGACCATGGATACGTATTCAAATGGGTATGTTTGAGTACTTAGCCTGGGAAACTTATCATTTGAGCAAGGGCCTTATTTCAGTTTACATGGATGATCCTTCAATTGTTGCTAACAGGTGGTCATCCTTACGGGGATAGCTTGTGCCTGCCTTTTCGTATTGATAGTTTCCTATGCCCGCTATAAAGGTCTTGTAGGGTCTTGATATTCTCAGCAGAAGTAGGGTCATTTTGAAAGGAGCTAGAGAACCCCTCTGAGCATTCCTAATATTTACATGAAATAAGTTATTGCTGCTGAGACTTGACAGCCAGGTTAGTGGAGCTATTAAAACTCAATAAATGTTGCGGTTTCTTTCTTCCCTTCCCCATCTCCCTCCAGCCTGATCTCAATAAGGAGAATTCCTTGTTCTCTTTAGATTGTCATTCAAGTCAACATTCTCCCTCATTGTTTAACAAATTTCATTGTAGGTCCGATGAAGCAGGCAGTGTTTTACTTGGAGGACCATGGTGATTTAGGTGGGACCAATAACAATGTCATCCATCCAATTTCAGGCACCAACCAACAAGGAATCATGAATGGGTGCATGGTAACCTTTTTTAATAGTTTTACTTTGATTAGTGATTCTTCTTGTTTTAATATACCTCAGAACTGGGTTGAAACGAGTGCATAATTTCACTCTTTCACATTTGTAATCAGCATATCAGCTATTAATTATTATGCCCTAATGCAGAATTGGATATTATGAAAATTGAAAAGTTTCCTACCACACCAATAACTTTTTCATGGGTAGGCCTCAGTCAGGAGACTTGGGGGCTGCTAGCAAGTGGCATCAGCTTAAACTCTGTTATGTTGCACTAATGAACTAACTTGTTAGACTAGTACCTCCAGGGAGCCACAACTTGTTAGACTAGTACCTCCAGGGAGCCACAACTTCGGGGGTGTTCATGGCAGTTGTTTCTGTTTTCAAAAACAAAACTAATCATGTTGTTGAGATTATCGCTCGATTTATTTGCAATCCAGATGGAATGAAATTTATGTCATTGTGGTTTTCCTTCACATTTTGGGGCACAGGTTCACGATGTAAAATTAATCCCCTCGCCTTTGTTGAATGATAGTTCAGAATAGGTTTTCAGGAAATGGGCTAATTACCAAATTTTAAGTGTTCTTAACCAGAAAACAGATTACAGTTTGCAATTGGTTCGAGCCCGAACCTGATCATGTTTTTATATTCCAGGTTAGAAATGAGACTTATGCAACTTCCGAGTTCTGAAAATATATATCTAGTTCTCTTTGATAACCCGATGGTAAGAACACTTCGAGGGGCTCAATCCTCCAGAGATTAGGGTTGGGAATGGGGAAGAAGGGAAGAGGGAAAGGGGAGAAGAAGAGGAGAGAGAGAGAGAGAGAGAGAGAGAGAGAGAGAGAGAGGTGTAATGGTTTCCTCTCCCTGGGCCGGGTATCCTGGACCCGAAGCCTCTGCAGTCTCATGGGCATGGGCTTGCTTGTGAGCCAGCTGGAGTTTCTGGGTGAGACCTATCAACTTCCCCACCTTTAAGAATGACGTTGGCCTCAAGGTCGATAGCGAGGAAGATTTATGGCCCACCTTAACTCATTGGATGTCTCATATAATGTGTGGTTCCACCAGCAGTTCACCATCTTTAGAGAATTCAGAAAGGAGTCAGCTAGTAGCAGAGACTGGGGCTCGACATGGCTTCGGGAATGAGACATGAAACACCGGGTGTAGCATGGTGCCTGGTGGTAAGTCTAAGCAATAGGCTATCGCTCCAACTCTCTTCAGGATAAGAAATGGGCTAAAAAAAACCATGGGGAAAGTCTAAGCAATAGGCTATCGTTCGACCCGAATGGTCGGCACGTTCTGACAAAAAAATTAAAAAAATTGGAAAACGGTCAACACCGTTCGAACGGTTAACCGGCTAGTTCAGCGGTTTGCTGATCAAAATCAATGGTTTTGGGGTAAAGTGAAACCGGTCAAGTGATCGATTCTCGGTTTTTCTGGTCTGACCAACCGGTTTTGAAAACCATGCTTTTAGGTATACCATGTCCCCGTTTTGGTACTCCACTACCTTACGCTTTTTATCATATTGTAGTTTCATTTGTTATTGGGCTTGTTTGAGAGATTAAGTATTTCTTGCACTAAGCATCTAATCAACTTTGACTAGGGGTGTAAACGGATCAAATTAGAATCGAATCAGGCAATATCTGAATTCGAATCTGATTAGAAAATTCGATATCCAAAATTGATTTGATATCCGATGTATATTGAAAATTAATATTCGAACTCGATTAAATATTTGAATATTTGATTTAATTCGAATTCAACCAATTTATTATTTTAGGTAATTAATAAATATATACATAACTATTTTATTTATATAAAGTATATAAGTATAAAAATACTTATATAATTTAATTATTATACATATATATATATAAATTATTTAAATTTTTTATATATTATATATAAGAATTAAATAATTGGTCAAATTCAGGTATTTATCGAATTGAATCAGGTCATATTCGAATTTGAATCTAATTAGCTAATCGATATGAATAGGATATCTGAATTCGACCAATTAAATATTCAAATTATTCAAATTCGATTCAATTATATCAAATCAATTTCGAATTTAGATTTTCGAATACCATTGACACCCTAACTTGACCACCACTGTTGTTTCCTTCTCATAGGGTAAATGGATGGTGGGTTACGTCCATAAACAACTTTGAAGGGTGTGGTTCCATGACATGGTATGTAGTGTTTTTCTTGAAGAGAAAGTAAAATTTTCATTAAAAGAAAAAAAAAATCATGCAATTTGAGAGGTGTCAAGATAACACCCCCACCACAACCTTAAACCATAATACATAAGACACTTTAAGAGATAAGAAACTAATTAAATTTATAAGACTGTAACTCAAGAATATTCCAAAAGTACCCCCAATCTAATGAAATTTTGGATACATTAAGAATCTAGTCAAGGTTGAGTTTGTTTTTGGTGTAAATGCAAATTGACATAAAACTCCACCGTTGGTTCACATTTACACGCATTTGTTTCTAGTATAAAAGCGGATCAGTGTAAAACTCCACACTTGGTTTGTTTTTTTACGCGTTTGATTCCAATGTAAAGTTTGCATAAAAAATCAATGTAAACCTTGGCTGGCTTTTCCACCAATAATTATCACAGTCCGTTCAAATTTTAAACCGATCGATTGACTTTTCCATCAATTGACATTTACACCGATGATTTTTCCACCGAAATCAAACACATCCTAAATTCTCAAACAAAAATATTAGCTTATCAATACTCTTATGCTTATTCTCAAATAGTCCATTGTTTCTTTCATTCCAAATAATCCAATAAACCATGAAAGGGATACAACTTCACACAATCTTTGCTTTCTTGCATCCATTAAGCCTTGGATAAGAAGAAAACAACTCTATGTAGTTCTAGCTTGAAACACACTTATTCCAAAAGGAAAGGAATAAAATTTCCATATGAAATTGGCAATCTTGCAAGAGTAGAACAAATGGTAGATTGTCTCCTCACCCGAACAACAAAAACAGCAATAACTTGCCATGGAGAAACCCCTACTCTTTAGATGATCTAAAGTCAAGATGCTATCCAAAGCCACTAACCAAGCAAAAGTTTCCACTCTAGGGGGAACAAGATTCCGCCACACTCTTTCCACTTGATTAGATACCAGGTACTCCCTAACCAATGCCAAGTAGAAAGATTTCACAATGAACTTTCCATTTCTTCATGGTATATAGTATTCTGCCAATACTCAACCTATGGAAGCCATTTAAGCCATTGTGTGGGCTTTTCACTAGCAAGACATTGGAGGTAAGTTTCAAAGCATTAGTTAACAACCTCATATTGCCCATTCATCTGATGCTGGTAACTAGTAGAATGGTGTAAGTGAGTACCTTGGAGCCTAAAGTAGTCCTCCTACAACTGGCTCATAAATGTTGGATCCCGGTCTATGATGATGGTTGTTGGGGTGCCATGCAACTTGGCAATATCTCTAATAAAGTTTTGGGCTACCTAAGCCACTGTATAGGGGTGTGATAGACTCACAAAGTGGGTGTACTTGTTTAGCTGATCCACCACCACAAGGATTACAAGTTCACTTCTAGACTTGGGCAACTCGGTGATGAAGTCCGTAGTGATCTCATCCTAGACTTGACCTAGTATGGGTAAGGGATGAAGTAAGCCAGCGGGAAACTTAGGCCTAATACTTCTGTGATTAACGTTCAGTGTAGGATGCAACATAGTCTTGGATGACCCATTACATTCCTTTCAAAGTAGGTGGTCAACCTTTGGTAAGTGCATGCAAACCATACTAGAATGCCCTCCCTTAAACTAGAGGAAAAGCTTCAAAAGGTACTATTGGTAGGTTAGTAGAGCTGAAATCACCATTCTGTCCTTAAAGATAAACACAACTTCTTGAAGAATACTTCGGAATCGGGTCTGAGTTGGCTTGCAACTGTTGTCTAATACGACCTAGTTCAGGACCGAGTTGGGCTTCCTCCTTGATGCACTCCATCATAAAGATATTGGAGAGAGGAAGCTATCATGGAGCTGAGTTCTTCCTTGTGTGAGGGTGTCAACTACTGCATTGGAGGAACCTGATTTATATTCAATTAAAAAATTAAAGCCCATTAGTTTTGAGGCCCATTTTTTATGCTCTAAGATAATGACACGCTAGGTCATTAGGTACTGAAGCTTTATTGATTTGTGGGAACTTTGACCTTGTGCCCCAAGAGATAGGCTCGCCATTTTTGCACCGGAAATCCAAATCCATCAACTCCTTGTCATAGGTGGATTTGAGTTGGGACTGAGCCAAAAGTCTCTTACCATAGTAGGCAATCAAGTGGCCATCTTGCATCAACACAATGCTAATTCCTCATCTCGATGCATCATACTTGACCATATATTCATTAGAGAAATTTGACAACATGAGAGTGGGTAGTGAGGTTACTGTTTACTTGTGAGTTTCAAAGGCCTATTCAGCCTAGTCACCCCAACCAACGGTGTCATTCTTAAGTAAGACAATGAAAGGGGCTACTAAGGAAGCATAATTTTTCATGAATTGGCAGTATTAGCCAATTATGCCCAAGAATCCCCACAAGGCCTTGATGTTTTTGGGCCTGGTCCACTGAAGCATCCTTTGTATCTCCTATGAGTCTATCATCAATATCCTTTTAGAAGTAATGTACCTCAGGTATTAGACTTGAGTCTTTTCAAAGGCGCATTTAGATGGCTTAGCGTAGAACTTATGTTGCCAAACCTTAGAGCCTTGCTCACGTGTTCAATGTGTGAGCTCCAATCTGGACTATAGGTCAAAACATAGTCAAAGAATACAAGTATAATGTGCCTAAGGTATAGCCGAAATATATAACTCATCAAACTTTGAAATGTGGGTGGTGCATTTGGTCAGTCCAAAGGGCATGACCACAAACTCATAATGGCCATCATGGGTCCAAAAAGGGGTTTTATGGATGCCATTTGAGTGAACTTGGATCTAGTGGTTTTGGTCTAGTCTGGATCGCTTGGTTTGGTGCTAGCCCAAGCAAGTTGGGCTGGTTGATCCTCTTGAGTTTGTTCAATCATTATTCATGCAAGTGGGCTAATCCTATAGCAGCTAATATGTAGTAGGCTGCATGGACTTAACTTCCAATCAAATATCTTCCCTTAGACCCCAAATGAAACACTTGGTACCATTTGT